AATCACTTCTAAATCTGATTTGCCCAAGTGTGTGACGTTTGCAAACTTGATACATTGTGAAAGGCAAATCTTTCTTAGATCACATATTCTCATAATCTACAAAGCCTTTCAACTTTTACTATACATATACTTCCATGTGAAAACTTCACACGACATGTTTCGCTAACACAGTAGCTTCGTCAGGTGATATACTGGTACAATGAACTCATTGAACTCGTATTCCAGGTGAGATCCAACACCTCCGAAGACCTACCGACGTTGTCGAGAACCAGGAACAACACCACGACCAGCTCGAAGGAAGACCTTCTGAACTCGCTGGACAGCAACCAGGCGAAAAATTACGAAATCAAATCAGCCAGAATGTCGTTGAGCTCCGAAGAGGACATCCTGTCGGATCGCAGCCCTTCCTTGAACGCCACCAGGAAGTTCTCGAGACATTCGATCTACAGCTCCAGCGACGATCTGCTCTCTATCGAGGAGTACGACAGGCCACAGAAGAAGAAGGACAACACCTTGATTTCCAAGATTTACCAACAGACCAATGTGAGGAATTACGCTATGTCCAACAGGTGAAGTGAAGATTTCAAATCAAATACTTGAAAGGGACACAAATACATAAGTTTCAGAGAGATCTCTTTAGTCCAATATTTACCACAATGAGGGCTAACACTTGTCACGTGTCACTTGTCGAATTTGTTTGTCACTTGTCGATAATAGTTGGAGGGTAAAGAAGAGATGTTTGCTCCTTTCTGTTGTTTCAGACAAAGATATCTTGATAAAACTTGATCACTGAACAGTCTAATGAGCATTCCCAACTAAAACTAATAGTTATTCAACTAACTATAGTGTATCATTTGCTACATTTAATATACGAATTGGTTACACAATTTTTCCGTTGACTATATTCTTCCAACAGTGAAATGACTTGGGGCATGTTTGGTTGCCTATACCACAATCGTTCATTGTAAGACAAATAATTGATCGTTAATAATTACCAAATAAATTTCGTGTATATTAATCAAACTTGAACATGAAGTCGATGGAAAAGGATTTTTTCTACAACTGTCGAAAAAACTGCACTTTTTAAATATATTTCGTGTGTGTACTATAATTTTTTAATATCTATATACTGTTTCATTATTATACGGAAAAGTGTGAAAAAAGTACACTTTTTTACGGTTGTTGCTAGGCGATGGAATTAATGCTTGCGTCAAAGTCCACCGCCTTGATTTGTTCGCTTGCTGCCTTGCTGAATCCCGTACAGGAGCCCATACACTGCGTTGTTGGTAGGCAACGCACAAGTCTGTTCGAACAAAAATAACGCAAAACCGAAGTGTGTGGTTGCAAAATGGTCGTTTCCGTTAGCCACATAACACGCATTTCGGTTTTGCGTCATTTTGTTCAGACATACAAACCAGCCCACCAACAACGCAGTCAATGGGCTCCTTTAAGGGAATCAGCAAGGCAGCAAGCAAACAAATCAAGGCGACTGACTTCGTATTTCGTATTAGATAATAATATGCTCGCTGATCGCGAGCGAGATGAGCGATTTATTCAAATTAGACGAAGGTGGCTCTGGCTTCGTCCTTAGAAACCAGGTATTATCAATAAAGTGACATGAAATGAGTAAATATGCTCAATAATAATTCTGACACACATCATAAGTTTGACAGTTTTAGAAAACAAAAAGGTTTGTAACACGTGCGTTAAGTGTTTTTTCACTTATAGGAATTACCGCACTCCGCCTTCATGTCCTTCTCGTAGAAAATGTGCCACTTTACACACTTGCATAAATAACTATCAAACCTCTCTGCTGAATTTCATTCCACTCCGTTTTCTGTAATATTGATAAGAAGACATCCTACTTCTATGAAGGATTTTCAAGTGAGGACAGACGTAGGAGTGGAATATAATGTGGTGGAAAATATATGACGTTTCCAATAATTTTTCAGAAGTAGTTTTATACATATATTTTTTTTGATGTTCATATCACTAATCAGTTTTTATCCGACAGGGAGTATATCTTGGGAGAAGAAAACAACATGAGAATGCCAACGAGCTCAGACGATGACGTTTTTTCTGATAAACCGACACCCTTACCCAGAAACTTGTCCAACACTGAAAAGTTCTTAGAAAAACTGAAATCCATCGATCAGAGTACACCCACTATCCAAAAAACCGTTGACGTCATGAAGGCAACCGAAGATATCGAGGAGAATCCTGATCCCGAAATTGAGGAAATAGCTAAGAGGAAAATCGTGCACAATTTTTTGTTCAAGTTTCACCAGTCCCAGCCTAAACTCGTTATGAGGAAAAAATCAAGCGCGGAAAGTCAAGAGGTAGCTGGCAGTGATGAGGAAATAACCGTTTCTGTTCGAGATTTGAAGAAAAGATTCGAGAATAACCAGGTAAAATGAAGAAGAAAACACACTATTTTATTGATACTTTTTTTTGTAATATGGATTTTTATACAGCGTGTCTCACTTAAACGGCCCCCTCCATATCTCAGCTACTATTCGCGAGATTCACGAAGTGGGCGACATCTAGGTTACATAATACGAACTTCAAACTGGGGGAAAACAAACTGTTGTCTATGGATAAAGTGCATAGACTACATTGCATTCAGCTTGCTGTAGCTGTAGTCAAACTTGTCAATGACATAAAGTGTTGGCACTGTTGGTAGTGATGATGGTTGAGTTGGTTAATTTTTTTACATTATTACACATTTTTATTAGTTTAGTGAACAGTGAACGGGTGAAGAATTGGAGATGGTTCAAACAATTCAAACTAATTATGACGAGCAAATCAAATGACATATAAAAGACAGCTACAACATGTTCACAATTCCCAGATTGTCCTGATTTGCAGGAACAAATACCAATCCATTGTTCTACAGGAGTTCCTCTGGACCCCAACTTCAAATTTACTTCATGTGGGGAAGATTTCATCGCCGAGGTTTGTAGACAAAGTGCAAAAATGTGCCTTTTGTTGAAGTCTTCTGCTTCACACAAAATCACATGATTAGGACGGAGAACTGATGCTTCTCCTTCCACTACTGGTCGGCTTTTTCCGTCTAGAGCAGAATATCTGCCAAAAGAACATCTTCAACAGGCATTATTAGCGCTTTCGATAGAATATTGACAATTAATGTCAAGAAATTTGAAAACTTATCACTTTTATCCGTGCACAGTACACAAGCTGATGGTACTAATGGGATTGAGTGAGGATTGAGTTTGTTTTCCCCCAGTTTTGACGTGGCTTTGACATGGAATGATAAAAACCGAGCGCCACCTGGTAACATTGATTCCCGCGAATTGGAGTTTGATTGCATGAGGAAAAATATTAGGAAGTTAGTTTCCCTGCAAAAAATTCCGAATATGATTTCATACAAAATCAACGTCATTCTAATTTGGTGAGAATCGCATGACTAATTACTGAGATCTATGTAGAGGACGGCCGTTCAAAGTGAGACATGCTGTATATTGAGATCATTGGAATTTACAGAGTAAAAGTATAGTAGTATCCAGTCTGACTGCCCGAAGTCTATCTAGACAAGTGAAAGACTATCTGAAGAACTGAAATAAGGACTGTAAAATTGTGTTTATCCAAAATAAGAGGTATTAAAAAATGGTCTATGAAGCATACTAACCTCTAAACTCAAAACTAACAAAACACTAACCATATATGATAAATTCTAGCTTTCAATTATTTAGAGATTAATTTATGCAAGGAGTGTGATGTGCAACATTAACCTTCCAGTAGTCGCGCCTCAAAATGGACATAGTCTGTCGCTGCGGAGCCTGACTCCGCGATGGATTTTTTCCAAAGATTTCATCAGTATGCCTTCGGACATGAACATTTCCAGGAACTAAAATGTCAAAATTGCAATAAATAGTTATTTTTGTATCTAGAGCGCGAAATGCTACTTTGGTGATCGAGATCTGATTTTTTTAACGAGGCGTTGCCGAGTTAAAAAAATAGTCGAGATGACCAAAGTATTTCGCGCTCGAGTTGCAAACAACATTTTTTCTACAAACGTCAAAAAATATAGTTCTAAGGTAAAAATATGCTTAGCTTGATATGAAAAATAGTGTTGTACTGGCTTAATAATCAGCCTCCCCCTATCCTCCCTAGGTACGCACGATGTTCCACGAACATAATAGGAATTTCCTTTCGTGCGCTCCAAGATATAAAACAAAACTATGGTTGAACATTCAGAAATAAATGATTTCGTGGATGTTTGCTCGATTGAGGACCATTAAGTTGGATTGAAAATATCTCATATATTTTACATAACAATGCGCGAAGTAGGTACTTCGCGCACTGTTTTACTTCGCGCATTGTTATGTGCAAGGTATCATGGTAACGTAGGAAACTGAAAAAAAGTGTCACTTCGCAATTTGTTATCAATGCGCGAACCTTGTCATTTTTTGACGTTTGTAGAAAAAATATATTTATTCAATAACAAAACCCAAAATTAACATTAGACAAATGTGGAAGATTTGATAACTATAGAATTCAAACAAAAACACTATAATTTGAGGACAAACTGAAAATGTTTCAATCTCAAACGACCAATGACTCATCGGCAATCTCTGCAAATGAATGAAGCGGGTTCTAATGAGCAAATGAATTTTTCACATGTACTACAATCAAATTGGGTGTGTCTTTTTTTTATCACAGTAGCATCGATCATGTGTGTTTACAAAACGGTATTTTATGAAATATCATTCATCAAATAAGACAAATGTTTTTCCTAAAACTTCCAAAATAGCTGCAAAGTGTAACTGCAATATGCAATATAACTAAGACGCCTGAGGTCGCTGCGGAGTACGACTCCGCGCTATGCTATGAAATTCAAGAATGAAGCAATTTTGCACATCGGTAATACTCGATTCGTTGGTCGTCATTTTAGGAAGGTCCTGAGTGCGGAGTGATACTCCGCGTGCGACTACTGGTAGGTTAATTATTAAAAAAAAGTGTTTTGACAGAGTGTATATGAGCGCTGATGAATAATGGGATATAAAGGGCGTGGGTTGATATTTTTTCAATATTTATTCACTGAACAAATCATTAATTTTCATTTCAGAATTAGACTACAACTTGCAGTCATCCACATCCAACCAACCTCATCCAAAGATATTAAGTCACACTTTGATACATTTTTAAGCAATGTTGTTTTGTACATAACATACCATATTTTATATTATTATTTATACAATTTGAAAATATTTATACACCTTTTAGTCATCCTCACGAGAAATGTATCCCCTCAGCATTGAAGGCATGTAATATTCTGTAAAAATGTTTCAGGATAAATTTTACTTAATAAATTTTATTTATGTTATTTGCTGATTGTTTTACTCACCCCATAAAATCATCTATATCCATCACACGGGCTCTTCTCTGATCAGCTTCTATTTTCGTCAAAATATCTTCAACTTTCTCCTTGATATTGAAATCATCTGACATTTCCTGAAAAAAAAGGCGAGAAAATGTTTTTGATCTTTCAGAGCGCACGAGAGAGAATCTCTGTTGAAAAAACACTCACTATATTGTGTAGACTGCAATGAACTTTGTAGTTTTTCTCTAGACTGGCCAGTACTGCTGTCTGTCTGAAAGTACTGCCCAGAGTTTTATTTTTGCGTGTGAAAAGTATTCTCGTCAGGCCATCCCACTCTGTATAGTTGATAGGTGGAGGTGGATTTCTTGGTTCTATCCTCACAACTGCAGATTCTACTTTAGGAGGCGGTCTAAAGTTGTTTTTGCCCACCTGAAAATCAACTAAATTTCATTTTGTAACTATCATACTTTTTATTTTCTGCAATTATAGTGTTTCCAAATTGTTGTTGGGTCACCCTGTACAATATTTCAACACTCTTCAGATTTTAAACCTGATGAATTGTATTTTCCGAGCAAAAAGCTCCATATTTCTATAAAATTTGAGGCTTACTAAACAAAAATGTGAGAAAAAAAATTACACCCCTAAAGGCTGAGACACAATTGAAGTTTCATGTTATAAGTTTTAAGATTTATGTATCAAAAATGACAACAGGATCCAAAACAGAATCAAAATATAAAAGCTTAAATTCCACCAATAAGGTTGTATGATTTTACCACCTGAATCAAGAGTTCATCTGAACTATTTACAGTATCATTTTCTTCTTCACTTTGTGCAGTAATCTCTGCTTTGTGTATTTTCGTCAGGACATTCAGTTATTTCCGAGGTTATTTCAGTATCAGTTTCATTTTCTAATAATATCATGTCCGAATAATCTAAATTCCTATAATCATGAAAATGTGTCATGTTTTTATACTATTTTCACACATCAATCAACGTTTTTCTCCAAAACTTTTTCAAAAATGGATCTTTGATGTTTTTGTTTTGAGGTTATGTGGCATGCATCATGGATCATACAGCTGCACAGAAATTCAGAAATAGTTCCATGTGAAAAAGGATTGCTGTGATTGATTGGGTTCCTAAATTTTAAATCATAAAAACCATCACATGAAACTCATTTCCTAATTCATAAATTTGTATTCTGTCTTTCACCACAAGGACCTTAACCTGACCATATTTCACATAGGAAGGGTTAGATATTGTGTGCTATTTGTTGGCATCAATTACTGTGAAGAGTTTAATTTGTCAAATGCATTGCTTTTCTTCAATATCAGTTATTATTATTATTATTAAAACAAAGGATCCAAGAAGTTATTCTTGCCCTCATTTTTAATAATTAACAATTCATGAGTTTTTGATCTGATAGAAATAAAATTATTATGACAGTGGATGATGATGAAGATGGAGGTTGAAAGACATTAATTTTGATAGGTGATGAAACAACAAAAAAGTTTTCATTTCCAAATTGAGCAGGGAATCCAAAAACTGAAACAGCTTTGTAAAATATACAATATGAGAAAGGAAATTGACTTACCTTCATTAACATATCAACTCTAGCCAAAAGCTGAGTATTAACAGACAATCTGCAATACAGTTTGTCTCCTGGCTTAGCTATGAGTCTTTGAGCAAATTCTAGCTGAAACATCAGTACAGCACACCTGAAGAACGGTCTGTGCAAAAGCAGCTTGAACACCAGGGGAGAAGAAATTTGATAGGGTATATTAGCAATGCAAATATCAAAAAAGGGAAGGTCAGTTTTCAGAGCATCCCCAACTAGGATCTGCAACTTTTGTTGGGCAGGCGTTCCTTGTACTCTTTTTTGCAGCTCGGCTACTAGCCTAGTATCTATTTCACAGGCCACCACTCTTTTGACTTGATTCAAGAGTTGCATGGTCAAATTTCCTGTACCAGGACCTATTTCCAATGCTACGTCAGTGGGCCTGAGGCCAGCTTTGTCCAGCATCGCTGTTATTATCATCGGGTTCTTGAGGATGTGTTGGCCGAAGTCCTTGTTGAACATTATACCTGGAATGGATTTCTAAGAACACACTGTGTTGGGTTGGAATATAGCCATACCTTGTTTGACCACGCCATTTAGAGATTTTCGTTTCTTCTCCACTTTTACTTTCGGCATGTTTGTAATTATTCAAATCAATTCGAGAATTATAAGGTTTTATAATTGTTTTTCTACAATTTTCAAAACACACCATGTCAGAATTGCCTGATTTTTGAGGTTAGGAAGTGGCTACAATTCCGTCAGGCGGAATAAATCCACTAAATGCAGTGGCTTCACCACGTCAGCAGGATAGAAATCACTGAACACATGAAAAATTATCGCATAGAAAAGACAGAGAAACAGGAGATTTGAATCATCGAGTCCCTTGTAGATGGAATTTTCAATTTTTTGGGATCGGAAATCGAATATGCAGTATCTGTGCATAGATCTGTGGCATGGATTTCACAAGGAATTCAATGTGTGCGCCCGCTTGACGTAGCTCTAGACACTGCCATTCTTCTTCTCTGTTCTCATTCCATATTCTATGGCCTCTTGCTACTCCTGGCTACACGGCTAGATTAATTATGTAGGCGTTATCAACACATTCATTTGGCATTGACTGTCGCTCATATTCCGAATCACTTTTTATGTCAGTAAAATTGTTCGAAATGAAGAAAAAATTCAAGCACAGACACGGCAAAGCCAAAACGGAAAAGGGCAGTCAAATCACGAACTACCGTTTCAATGTTAACCCGCTGATTAAGCAAGAACTGTTGCAACTCCTCAAAGACACTGGTAAGGCTCCTGTAGAAGTCCCGGAAGAAAAAATAACGGAATGGAAAGACTACGAAGAGCCCCCGGAATTCGTAATGGGGGCGAGAAAGCTGGCTCAGCAAATGGGGGTGTTTTGTAATCATTTGAGTAGATTTGATATTTGACTTTTGCAATAAAATATGTTGGTGAATATAGACGATGTAAGAGCCACGACAGAAATAAAACCAATGATCGAAATAAACAGATACCGAATAAGAAATAAGAATTTTTCTTCAAGCGTCATGAAAAGTGTCTACGTTTTCTGCCTAGGCAGGAAAAGTTTGTTGCTATGAACCGATCCAAGTAATTTGAATGAAATTGTTAATCAGATAATTGACACCTGACATTGGGTGAATACGATGTTTATTTTTGTATCTAGTGCGCGAAATGCTACTTTGCTGATCGAGTCAAGATAACAATAAGTATTTCACGCACGAGTTGCAAACAACATTTTTTTCTACAAACGCCGAAAAATATAGTTCTAAAGTAAAGTAGGTGAGTGTTGCTCGACTGAGAACCATAAAGTTTAAATACAAAAATCTTATACAGGGTGTATCTAAATAACACCAAAAAATTCAAGGGGTATTTCCTTGTGACATTCTAGCAAATAGAGTTCATATAAACATGTGTCCTAACTTGCTCCGTTTTTGAGATACAGGATGTTGAAGTTGGAAGTATTAATTATTTTTATTTATACACCTTAAGGACTTACCACCCCTGTAAAATCGTTATTATGCGACCAATTTCAAAAAACCTTTTTTTGTTGGATAGGTATTTGAAATGCCCATCCAACGAGAGATAGTGATCTAATTCTTGGACTGTTATCGTGGCCAACTGCGACAAATTTCAATGACCTATATTCCAGAAAGTACTATTAGGGATTTTTTTCCACGAAACTTGAAGGATTCTGAATCAATACCACTTGAGATATACCTGTACCGATTTTCATCATCATAAAACACAAGGTGTCCGAAAAAACGAATCATCATTTTCTTCAAATAGGTGATCAGCAAATGTAGTTCTGTGGTTTTTCTAGAAAGAAATAATCACAAATTATCATTGAGGATTATTTCAAATATACCTGTACCAATTTTCGTCATTTGAATATAAAATGTGTCTGAGACAAAAATTAAAAAGGATATAGGTAAGCAATATTTTTCATTCTGATAATTATCTTCACTCAGAATAAAAAGATGAATCATGATTACTTGGAACATACCTGTACCGATTCTCATCATCATTAAACACAGGGCGTTCGAAAAATCAAATTAATATTTTTTTTGAGTTGATGAAAAAATATTGCCTACTTTTTCTTTTTAATTGTTTTCTCATACACATCGTATTTTTGAATGATGAAAATCGGTACAGATATGTTCAAAGTGATCCTCAATAATAATGTGTCATCAATTCTTCTCAAAAATACCACAATACTACATTTTTTGATCACCAATTAAAAAAACAAACATAATTCGTTTTTTCGGACACCCTGTGTTTTATGATGATAAAAATCAGTAAAGGTGTTTTTCAAGTGATCGTGATTCAGAATCCATCATTGTTTTTTGTGAAAAAAATCCCTAATAGTACTTTCTCAAATATGGGTCAATAAAGTTGGTCCCAGTCGACCACGATTAAAGTTTATTAGTAAAATCACTCTCTTGTTGGATGGACAATGGAAGTAAATATACTAGGAGAGCACGGCCTCATTTCGACCACTTTTCCCATGTAAATCTCCATAAGAAAATTTAAGGTCAGAAATACCGAAAATGGTCGTCGAGTCAAATGAAAACAGGGTGAGTCCAAAAACCTTTATCATACAGACTGGAGAAAAATTCTGAAACCAACCCATGAGTTCAAATCGAATCTTACAAATTCAAGGTCATCTAGACCATGTGATCACCCAAAAAAAAATCGCAGAATGTGAAGTCAGGAAGCATGAAACGTTAGAACTACCTGCAACCAGCAGTCAAAACGCCAATCAATAACAAATTGCTATTTACCAAATTATCATCAGGACTATTAATTATAGCTAACACAGGATGTAGAAATTAAACTCAATACGATTTTTGAAAATATATTGGTATAAAATAAAAGGTAAAGCACATATATACATATAATATAAACTATAATTAGCAGTTGACGTTTCAAGTCTCCATTATACTATAGTGCCCCCATGGAAGAGTTTCGCAGGATCCTGGTACAATATACCTCTTGTCATCTTCTGAACTGAGAGCGATTTTCTCTTGAATTATGGAATGAACCTGGTGCTTTTTCGCTCTTATCAAAATTTGAGAAACTTTCTTATGCTCGTGTGTTTCCAGACAGTCGACGTAATCCTCGAAAGTGATAGCTGTTTTAACAACAGACGATTTCACGCCTTTCGCTTTCTTTGCAACACCCATATTCATTATAATATTAATAATCTCGTCCTCATCATAATCTCCCTCCCGTAACTTTGCCCTCTTCTTCTCAAAATCATCATCAGTTACCAGCACCTTTGTAGAGTATAATTTTGATCGTAGACCTACATATTCCATCATTATGACAGAACAATTCTCATCTTTCATCATTCCTAGAACCTTCTTGTTCACCTGAGGAATTCCATGGATATTATCTTCAGGATAGTCAGACGTATCGAAGTGGGTGTGGCAATCTCGCCTCATAACTTCATACGGATTTTTATGGAGCTCATAGATGAGGGAGTCTGTGTCGGTGTAGCAAGCAGAACAATCATTACCAAATTCTTTCATCATATAATCGTAATGGAAGCCATATATAGTAGTTTTGGCTAGATCGAGAATTACTTGACCAACGTAAATGGGCTTATTTAGATATACTTCAAGTTTTTTCAGCTCTACAGCAACTAAATTCTCGTTGAATATAGTACAGTTCTTGAACTCTGGCTTTGAAGTCCATGCTTCAGCGCCATATCTTCCTTCCCATTTCGTTAGAAGCTTAACTTTAATTCTCTTCCGGATGTTTTCTATAGTCTTCCCAAAGACAGCGTTATTCATCAACTTGAATAAATTTTTCTCGAATTCATTTTTAGCAGCCTTTCTCAAACTCGTATTCAGATCAATATATGATTTGAGCCATGTAGATTGCTGAAATTTGAGCACACGATGAATTTTGGTCAGGACCAACCCATGCTCCAGCGCTTGTTTGAGAGCTCGGTAGTGGATGATGTACTTCTCCTTATTATTCAGCGTCGCCATCAGCTTGGTGTGTTGAGAAGGTCTCGTCGGAGGTTTCATAGTTTCTGGATTGATGTGTTCTGAGCAGAAAGGTAGGTCTTTGTGGGAATCATGAAGGCGTCGTGGGTATTCTAGGTCAACTTCTAAAAAGTATCCTTCTAAAGCATCATCAGCAACGCTTGTAACATCAAGATTAGTGTCGGCCCATTCAAATCCTCCATATGGCAATGCCTGAGACATAGCCCAACCGTACTGGTTGTTAACGTCAAAGTACATTAAATATGAGTCAGGCTTTGATGAATCATATGAAGGCATGAACTTGTTGTTTGCCCTAGCTCTACGTTTCGAACAAATTTGGCTGAGACCTCCACGAATTCCTCGTTCAACAAATAGAAACATATCCACATCCGTAAGCAGCTCCAGTTCTTGGCCGGTTTTATACAGCATAGCATCCCAAGTGAATCCTGGTAGGGTGTAATAGTGTGCAGGGTCAAGATTGTAAGTTCTGAGGCAGCTGGTTCGGAATTTTTCGAAAACATCGGTCAACAACATGATGTCAGTCTTCATGTAGATGTCAACATATTGTCCCAAGTCTTGACAATTGAACTCATTCCACACAAGATTGGCTTTCAGATAATGTCTGCGTGGACAGGGTTTTTCGTTCAGTTTGTTGAAGAAAGCATCAATTGGTGGTAGCTGCGTCTCATTGAAGCGTTGAAACGAGTCGATATAGTCATACGGCATCACACCTTTCTTAGTTAGAAGCTGGAGCTGATCTTCGGTGATGTTAGAGAATTGAGACATCAAGTTCGGAAATTCGCTTAAATATGATGCCAACATATCCAGAGAAGAATTCATAAATCGAAAGCTATCGATGAAGCGGAAGCCTATTCGTGAATCTTCATTGTATTTGGTGAAGGAAATATATTTTTCTTTGGTGATTGGCAACAAATCAACCCGACCCTGCATTTTAGATGCTATATCCTCAATGATGAAATTTGCATCATATCCACTCAGATTGTGGAACACAACAGGCACCACATGGCTGTCCTGGTACCGAATATTACAGCTTTCATGCGCTGGACCTCTATAATTTTTTTCCGGAATGAGATGCGTATGGTCGCGAACTTTCTTATCATCAGGTCCAAAAGGTTGTTCACAAATGTGGCAACGTTTAGCTCTTTGAAACTCAACTTCCTGCTCAGCGGTCATGTCGATGTTGTATGGACAT